CAGTGCATTTAAAAGCCAACTGTATAAAAAATGAGATGTGATTAGTAAATTGGAATCACGTCCAGATTTAGTCTGAGGTCTTTCTTCCTCCCTGTAGAATGGTAAGTCAGACTGGGCTGACAAAGAGTAGACATAGTTGATATTAAAAACTGGCAACATTTAAGAGCCCTATAAAACCTCAAAACAGGAGAAAGAACCCAATCTATGATGTGGCTGGAAGGCCCACTGGCATGGGTAATGTACCCAAAGATGACAAATATTTTGGCCACATGGATGCCTCTCTGTTCTCACTGAGGCAGGAATCTTGCCTTCCCTAGTCCATAATATACCACTTCTAATATTATTAACACTCGGGAATCAACTGATTTACAGTCCAATGCAGGGTTCCCAGACTTGTTTTTTTTTTTTTTTGAGACATATAGGATGGATGATATTCATATACACAGTATATTCTCTAAAGCATCCTCAGATTTTGACAAAACACTCAAAAAATGAGCATGCTAATAATTCATTTTCATCATATACCATATTCATATTTGTCATATACTGAAGACTTCAGGCAGCATGAAGAGTGATAAGTCCAGCCCATTCTTGCCCATTCATAAAAGTATTTGGTAATGCAAATGACCAAGAGTGAGGGTCAGGAACAATATTGAACAATAATGAATTTTTTGTATTTTTTTTTTTTTTGGAAAAGAACAATGTTGAGTTTTTTTGTATTTATTTTTTTGGAAAAGAAACTTCATAAACTTTGGTATTTCAGCTCCTATAATAACAAATTACTTGCTACACACTGCTCAACTGCTCTGGACATACCATGGTGTCTTGACATCATAGTGGAGGACTCTTGGTCTAGGTCAGTATTCCAAACTCAGACCGTAGGTCCTGGGTGAAGGAAGGGAAACTTGGAATTATAGGAAGGGATCCATGAATCCATGGATACATCAAGCATTACAGCGCTCTAAATAAATAGCCTGTCTTGTGTGTACATTACCACTTTTCAAATGTGCACAGGTTTATAAGAATTAATGAAGCTCAAATAATTTTAAAACTTTGCTGAATTCATAGTAGCTCTTTATCATTATATGTTTTTCCAATCAAGAATTATCAAAAGTACAATCTTAACATGGTTAGGGGCTACAGTAGAGAGTGTAGATTAAAAAAATCAAGGTTTCCAATGATATATAAAGGTCTATACTTTTAAGACAGGCAAGTGGACAAAGGACAGCAGCAGGAAATTAGGCCAGTGTTTTTCAAAGTGAGGTCACTGGACTACAAGCATGGAACTCTCTAGAAGTTGCTAGTCAAAATCTCTAGCGGTGGGGATCCTTCATGAGCTCTCTTAATGAGTCCAACTAAGTTTGAGAATCACAATCACTGGTTTAGAATGCACTACAAAAAATGCTTCTTTAACACACAAATAGTAGTGAGATATTACTAAGTATTCTCCAAGAGGTTTTAAAAGAAGAGAGAGAAATATGCTTGCCTGATGGCAGGACCATGCACAGATGACCCATCTCGAGGGACCATGATGTCCACTCCCAGACCATATTTTAGGCATTTTCTTGGTCACTGGAGTATACTGGAGACAAGGTTCAGAGGGGGCATGGGATTCCCCACATAGTTATAGTCTCTATGTTGTTTTCCAAAGCCCCCAGAGGGTTTGGAGCCTTGCAAACAGGAAGATGATGGGCTTTGCCAAAGTAACAATTAGATAATTAAATTATTCTGTTTATAGACTTTATAGAGATCTGAAAATACCACCCATCTTTCTCATGGAGGGACTACAGGAAGCTCTCCACAAAGAAAGATTTTAAAAAATGGCTTCTTGGCAATAGTTTTAGCTTAGAAATAGCTAAATTATTGATTAGAAAGAGGACGACTGTCAAATCTCTTCAAGACGCTATGACAATATCTAGGAACAAGAATTCTTTACTATAGGAATCTAAAAAACAAAAGCAAAAACAAACCCCCAAACACACAGACTTTTGAGAATTATTTAGGAGGCACTGAAAACTCCAAGTTAAAAATAGCTTTTACCAGACCCAAGGAAGAACAAGTAGAATCAGTGAATAACAACAAGAATCAACTTGTAAAAATCCTTTAAGTTGTGTCGCTGGGACAAAGATGGCAAGACAGTTTAGCGGTCAACTCCACAGTTCACAATCATGGTTAGGAGCACAGAACCTGAGATCAGATATACAGACCTGCTATTTAATCCTAGCTTCACCCCTGAGCAGTTTGTGTGGGCTGGGCAAGTGACTGAAGTCTCTGAACCACAGTTTCCTCATCTGTAAAATGGGAATAATAACAGTGCCCTGCTCTGACTCTCTCTTACAGGTCATTAATGGTGAGGGTGAATCAAGTGAAAGCAGTCGGGCCACACTATCTGCACAGAGTAAGTCCTGATGCATGTTAACAATAATTGTTAACTCTATGTAGTTAACAATATTTGTACTGTAACTATATTTCTACTACTTTTACTACAAACCAAAGATTTTCTGTAATGCCAAGATATTCAGGGCATTCAGAAAGAGATTTTTCTGAGGCGAGGGGAAGAGAGGTGTTTGCTTAAGAGCATTAAACTAGTGGATTTAAATTCTGCGTGTCCTTGGAGTCCATCCTGTGACATTAAACCTTCCCCAGGGACTCCCTCTGTTCCTGACTTCCCATAGCACATATTCCCCCATCCCAACATTTGCCAGCTCATTTTATTCTGTCTTAGATTGTCTTTCAATGGTTTCATGAGTACAAACTCCATCTCCCCAGCCAGACTGTAAATTTCTCCTGGGTTCAGTTCATACCATACTCCTTTTGCCCTATCTCTTAGAGCTTGACGTGCAGTATGAACATGAGAGAGAAACAGAAGTAAGACCGTGTATATGTTTAGATGGCTCTCAGTACTCCTCCTCTCCCTCCTCCAAGTAACAACAATGATAATAATTAGATTAATAATAAACCCTCTGGCTTTTGAAGGTCCCTGGGCCTGGCACTGAACTGAGCTCTTTAAATACCTTCTCTCACTTGACCCTTGACCCTCGACAGCACCACAGGAATGAGCTGCTGAGAGAGCCATGAGCAGAACAGCAAAGCAAGGGCAGCTTTGCAAGCCCCGACCACTCACTCAGCCAAGTTCAGAATACATCGAGCAGGGTGTGGTTACTTCCAGGTCTTTGAATGAAAGATACCAACCCCATTTCCTTTTTTCCCCAACACAATCCAACTGATGGTTCCAGTGCCCCTTTGGTCATTTGGGCTCCCAAAGCAGAGACTCTTCTGGAGAGGAGGCGTGTACCTCTGGGAGGCAGAGTTTGAGCCCCGTCCCTACCACATGTTTCTGACATGTCCCTTCATGGTTGACCACAACCTACAGTGAGAAATATATATTATACTGCAACTCAGACATATGTCCCAAAGATTTTTATGAAACAATGCTTATGTTCATGTGAGGCTTCTGAGATTTTCCTATTCTATTTCATTCCTTCACTGAAAATGAGATATGAAGAAATCAGAACCCATATATATCACCAGTGGGAATGCAAAATGGCATAGTCTCTTTGGAAAACAATTGGGCAGTTCCTCAAAATCTTAAAAGTAGAGTAATCAAATGATCTAGAAATTCTACTCCTACGTATATGTCCAAGAGAAATGAAAATGTACATCCGTACAAAAACCTGAACATGAATGTTCATAGCAGCATTATTCATAGTAGCCAAAAGGTAGAGAGAAACCGAATGCCCATCAACTGATGAGTGAATAAACAAAAGCAATGTATATCCATACAATGGAATATTATTTAGCCATAAACAAGAATAAAGTACTGACACATGCCACAGCATGTGAAACCATTATGCTAAATGAAAGAAGCCCAGTCACAAAACACTGCATACTGCATGATTTCATTTATAGGGATTGCCAAGAACAGGTAAATTTATAGAGATAGAAAGTAAATTAGTGGTTGCCACTGGGAGGGAAGGTGGGACAAATAAGGAGTGGGTATGGCTTTCTTTCTGGGGTGATGAAAATGTTCCAAAACTAAATTGTGGTAATGATTGTAAAACTCTGTGACTATATAGAATAACACTGAACTGTACACTTTAAAGTGGTGAATTATACAGTATGTGAATTATAGCTCAATAAAGCTGTTTAAAAATGATGGCTGTGATCCACTTAATTGATTTCACAACTCCAAATGGGTCTCAACATGGTTGAAAATTACTGTTCTAGAGCATACTGCCCACCCCCCTGCCCCCGCCTGCGCCTGTCCTCTTCATGAGAATCACGACTTGACCTGGAGAGTTGGGGAGCCTGCAGTCTTTGGGTGGGCAGATGGACAGGCAGATGGAGAGGGGGTGAACGTGTGGAAGGAGGGGTGAGAACCATCTGTGGCAAAATAGCCATCATCCTTCTCCAGTTAAGGAATCCTGACTACATTTTCAGCAGCACATGCACAGCAAAAAGACCACATTGCTCAGTCTCTCCAACAGCTGGGTGGCCAACAGAGCCTTGGTGAGACGCCTAGAAGAGCTCTGGAAGGGGCTGACTCAGCCAGGATGGATGCTCCCTTTGGTCCCTCACCCCTTCTCTTCTCCTTGCCTTGATTCATTCAAACATGATGGCTCAATCTCTGGAAACCACCTCATGACCCTAGGAGTGGAGGGCAGTCCTAAGGCTGTCAAAGCAAAGGACATAAGGGGACTGGGTCCCTGATGCCTTCTTGAAGCCTCCTGGGCTGCCGACCTCTGCACTTCTCTTATGTAACTGAATACATCCCGAATTTGCTTATGTCACTGAGTCGTCTCTGGTATCAGCAGCCAAAGGCATTTCTAAATGATATGTCATCTAAACGAAAAAAAATTCCCCTCTATCATATATGAGCCAAGGATAGACCTTTCAAGAAATAGCAGCTACTCTCCCACCCAGGCCTTTCTGCCTCCCTTGCCTTCTGGAAGAACCTTTCCTTGAGTCCCAGGTCTGAAGGGAAATGAGAACCCAAATACCTTGTGATTTTAAATATCCGCAGCAGCCGGACACATCTCAGCACAGAGATGCCCAAGGGAGACATGATCTTGGTCTCCACCAGGATGGTCTCCAGGATGCCCCCGCACACGATGAAGCAGTCAAAGCGGTTGAAGAGGGACACAAAGTAGGCCTGCAGGCCTAGGCTGTACATCTTCAGCAGCATCTCTGCAGTGAAAAGGGCCAGCAGTGCCTTGTTGGCCGTGTCTGGTGGGGTCAGGCGAGGGGGCAGGATCCCAGCACGGGGGTGAGAGGAGGAGGAAGGCGGGAGGAGGAGAAAGAAAACAATTATCACTGCTGGAAAAAAAAGCACAGATGCTCCCTTTCCAGCCAGAACACCTCCCCTCTGTGTTGCTGCCAGAACAGAACAATTGGGGCCAAATCGCCAGAAAAGGGGTATCTAGTTATAATCACAGTAAACATGATCTACCATGCATCAAAGGCTGTGTGTGCTGATCTTCTTTACTTCTTTACTAGCTGCTTTTTCAGAGATGAGGAGTGAGGTTCTGAGAGGTGAATACTCTGCCCAAACCAATCAGCCAAAAAGGGGAGCCCAGGCCACCCAAGTCCACTCTCTGCACTGGGAGACGGTCCACTTCCCAGGGTTCTGGAATGCAGCCCCCATGTCTGCTTGACTCCCTGGGAGTGGAGCTGAGGCACTGGCTAGGGAGGTCCTATTCTAGGGCTCCAGGGAAGGGCGGGGCTACTAACGGCCCATGGAGGACAGCTCCTCGTGCTCAGGTCATGGCTGTCCTCTTTCCTGGCTTTTTGCTCACCTCATCCACACATGTTCTGGCAGGCCCACCTGCAGGCGACGGTAAGGCCTGAGGTATTGAAAACCCATTCTGGGAAGTTGGCAGCCAAGAGTCTGAGATAGCCAAACAAGGGGCAGCATGTGTCCTTGTCATCTGGACCCAAGAGCGACTGTTGGGGCAGGCAGACCGTGTGGGCCCAGCCAGGTGAACCACATCTCTTTATAATTAGGTGGTGCATTTTGCTATGGGACCTGCAAGCTCGTCAGCCCTTGGCATCCCCAGCATGGCATCTGCCAAGAGCCAGGGACACTTTCCCTGCCAGGGTGGCTTTCTCGTCAACCTTGTGCCTGTGACTATTCCCTTCCTGGGATTCAGGGCCGAGTTGGCAAGAGTACAGAAGGATAGCGCCGGGGGCTTCCTCTCACCTTGCACCTCCGTGAGCCAGTGGGGCTGGTTGTAGTGTTCCGAGGCGATGGTGAGCGTGTTGAGGAACACCAGGAAGATCACAAGCCAGTAGAAGACATTAGACTTGACTGCGGCACGACACTTTCTTCTGCAGAACCGGTTCCACCGGCGCCAGTAGCGGCTGGAAAAGGAGCAAGGAGAGAAGGAAGGGGGCAGGGCGGAGGGCGCTGTGAAATCTGAAAGACACCATCATGGTTTCCTTTCTCCCCTCCGTGGACTTGGCCTCAGCAGAGCAGTGCAATGTGGTGGTGAGGAGATAAGCTTCCCGTCAAGTTAACCGGGCTCTGCCACTTACTTGTGTGTGTGGCCCTGGCCCTTCTCAGCTTGGGTTCTCTCATTTGTAAAATAGGAATAGGGTCAAGCTCACAGGGTTGTTGTGGGGATTGATAAAATACCATATAATGCGTCTGGTATAAATACATATTTTTGATTTATAATAATGACATTATTCAAAATTGTATTGTACAACGTAAGAGTATTATTAGTAGTGATGATAGTAGTAGGACTAGTAATGGTTACCATTAATGAAACCTTATCCATGTCTGTTACCGTACTAGACACTTCTCATGCCTTCTCTTTAATTTAACCCTGCAAAGCAGGCATTACCCTGATATTCAGGAGGAGAAAACTAAGCCACAGAGGTTGAGTACCTTGACTGATATTACACAGTGGCAGAGCCAGACTTGGTTTTCCCCCTAGGCCAGATGCTGCCTCATCTGTAAAGTGTTATAGGTGAATCTGGATCAGAGGTTCTTTGCTTTTATGGGGTTATGGAACATTTTGAGAATCTCATGAATGTTTAGATACTTTGTTCAGAAAAAAACGCGCATACCCACACATACACACATCTCTATATACAAGTTCATGCAGCACATGGCCTCCTGAAACCTCGGCTGTGGTCCATATAATGTTCTTTTGGTCTCTTGTTGAGGGACTTATGTCAATGACTCTCAAACCTGGCTGTACATAAAATTACCTGGGGAAGCTTAAAAAAAATAACCATCAACCCTCACCAGTACCCAGACTCCAACTCCAAACCAACTAAATCTGATTCTCTGGGGGTTGGGTAGTTTTTAAAGCTCCCCAGGTGGTTCTAATCTATAACCATGGTTGAGAACCATTAAGCTAGATGATGCTAATTTTTAAATTCTATGGTGGAGGAGTTTACAGCTTCCAGTAGAAAACCAAACAACTAACAAAACAATTTCTAGGGGAAATTTCTAGGGGAAGTATGAGAAATGCTCTTTTGGCCATCTGGGCTGGAGATGATGAAGGCAGTAGCTTTATTAATGGAAAAGAGGACACTGAGTTGACAGTGTTATTTTGAGACAGAATCAATAGGACTTTGAGCCTGACTGGATGCACAGGGTAAGAGAGAAAGGTATGGAAGGGACGGCCAAAATTTCTAGCTGGAGTGATTTGGAAGAATGGCACCTCTAACTGTTACAGGTACAGACAAGGAGAAGCAGTGCTCTGGGCAGGGAGGTTGCTACGAGGAGAAAGGTGGGGCGCTCAGCTCAGGAAATAGGTTTGAGGTGCTTGCAGGTCATGTGTGTAGAGAGACCCAGCAGGGAACTGGAAGGCAGCGCCCCTGTTCGGGTAATAAAGAAGGCAGTGGGAGGAGCAAAACAGCATCTCAGAGCAACAGTCCATGAATATCTGTATTCAGGTTTGTATTCTAGGTTTGCAGAAATGCAGACCCCTGCTGCGATGGATCCCTCCACCCACCCCCAAAACGGCCTTTTGAGATAGCTTCACTTCATCTGTATTTTCACTCTGTATTTTCTACCTACTATCTGTGGAAAATCCTGTTACCAAACTTTTGTTAGCTCTATTATGAGATTAGAAACGTGAGAAGTACATCTAAGGAGAGAACTCTTTCCTCAGAATGGCAGGGATAACTTAGTTTTTGGCCTGCAGAACAGGGAGGGAAGAAAGACTTAATCAAATAGTGTTCTGATCTGACCCTAGCTCTTCGTGGGTGCTTGAATGCCATCTCCAGTGAGCGCTATCCCTTTGTTGGGGACACTTATCTGCCACTTGAGGCTAATTCACTACATAGAGAAGAAGTGCATCAGGGTCAGAAAATTAAGGTTTCCAAATGCTAGGGAAGCTTACCTTCCCCAACATACCACCTTGGGTAAGAGTGAGGATGGAGGAGGGTGAAGAGAGGGACAAAGGATGGGATAAGGGGTCTTAGTTGGTCCTCAGGCTCCTCTGCAGTTTGCCAGCTCTTGGTACTGAGGAGTCTTATCTCAACAGGGCAGGACGCTGCTTCTTTCCTGTCATTGTGGTTATTAATACTATAGAGAAATTTGGTATGACTATTTTTTTCCTGAAAAATGAATTTTCAGGACAAACTCATATCTGACCTTAAATAGCTTACATTGTAGTTTCAAAGGGTGTTTTAAATAGATACAATCTTTTGTTAGAGAAATCACGGATAATTGTTACTCAGAGTCCAAAGGAATGAAGTTTGCGTTCCTTTACAGTATGTAGAAATGGACTCAGAGTCAGTTTAATACTGAGAACTTGATTCAGCTCCTCTTTTCCCAAGTTTGGGATGTGGGGTGCCACATGGTCAGGCCTGTCCCATGGGTCTAGGACTGCCTGACCCCCTGAAGGAGTGGCTGTCAGAGGCAGGGTCGTAGCTGCCAAATGTGCTGTTCCTGTGCACAGCCATTCAGGGGAGTCACATGGATTTGGGCTGGGGTGGGGGTGGGGGTAATTACTATCCAGAGAAAGTATTTAAAGATAATTATACACCTCCCACTCTTCAAAATATAGCTTTGCTTGACAACTGGTTTCCTGGCAACGCTTCCTACGGTATAATAAATGTAATGATTTATTAGAATGTGTAAATGTATTTGTGTGTTTACATATGCATGGAGGATATAGAAATTAAATGATAAAATAGGGAGGAGAAATTTGCCTGCTATTCATGTTCCCTTCATACTAACTAGAAAAGTCATTTACTCTAGAAATAGAAGTTCCCATATGTAGACATAGGACAGAAGGGCGGATATGAAATGTGCCTAATCTACTTCTTCAAAATTCTATATTGTTGCAGTCCCATGGGAAATTTCTGCTCAATTTACCCTGGGATCCACCTTACCTCTTCTTAAGTCTGGGCTTTGCTCTTGCCTTTCCACCTACGTGGACTGTCCCCAAACTGTCAGGACCTCCCCTTTCTATGTCCTGCCCACTCTTTTTTTTCTTTTAAGATTTTATTTATTTATTTGACAGAGAGAGATACAGCGAGAGGGAACACAAGCAGGGGGAGTGGGAGAGGGAGAAGCAGGCTTCCTGCTGAGCAGGGAGCCCAATGCGGGCCTCCATCCCAGGACCCTGGGATCATGACTGGAGCCGAAGGCAGACACTTAACGACTGAGCCACCTAGGTGCCCATGTCCTGCCCATTCTTGAGGGCTCATCTCAAGTCCCAACTTCTCCATGGGGAACTTTTCTAGTCTCCCCAGGCTCAGAATTCCTGTCACACTTAGGTTTGCATTATTCATTTTAGGTATACATTAAAGAAATATTTATTAAATACCTATCCTGGGATAGGTACTAGATATTCATCAGTTAACGTGATAGTCTTTTTCTGCATAAAACTCATGTGGGCAATAAAGACACTTAAGCAAGCAATCAAAGAGTGTGCTTAGCACTATGGCAGGCTTCGCAGAAGTGCCGCAGGAGCGCACCAAAGGGCCTCCGAGCCCATGGTGGAGGAGCCAGCAGAGGTTACTCAGAGGAAATGGGAACAGAGGAAATGGCTTCCCATTTCCCCATATTGTTGGTCATCTTTTACCGTATGGTTCTTGCCTCTCCAGTGAGATCATAAGACCCTCGAGGGAAAGGGACTGTGTCTTGTACTTCGCTATAGATCCACAGCACTTAGTGCAGTCCATCTTACATGGTAGGGACACTTGACTGACAGCTTGGTAGAACAGCAGAGACAATTCTGCAGATTTACTAACTTCTTGCTGAAGACAAGGCTTGAGAGCCCTGGAGCTCTTGTGACCCAGGGATGAAGGTGGGGGTGAGTGAGGGGCAGTGCTACTGAAAAAGTTTGCTTGGCACATAATTTTGGATAGGCATCTAGAAGAGGAGACAACATCAAAATGGTGGACACTTCAGGCTCTTTCTAGTGGCCAGAATAAGTTCCTATCTTTTCTTTAACTGAGAATGAGCAACACAGGAAATGATTAAATTTAATTATTTTATACTATACCTAAGTAACTTAGAATGGACTATCAGAGAGTAGACAAATTTGGATATTTGCCTTGTCCCAGCTGCTCATTCCACTGAAGATGGGGCAAGACAGTCCTCCCAAATTTTAGAACCCCATGGGATTCACTTCAGAACTCCATAAAGTTAAGATCTGGAAACTTTGACAGATTATCTGATTAATTCCTGCAAGTTGCACAAAACTTTCTACATCATTTGTTCCTTAACTGTTTAAATCCTATTCTGAACAGTTAGCCCCAAATGTTGCAAAATTCCTTATTGTGACTAATTCCTCCAAGTGGAGACTTGGCTTACCAAAGGAATACCCTAATATTGGCCTAATATTATAAGTCAATTAATTTGCTGAATTTCCCCTAAAGTCTCTCTTCTAGTATTTCTTTTAAGTAAACTGTGATTTTGCATCATTGAGTATTGCAAATGTAATAGGCTGGTTGGAAACTCAAATTGTCTTATTTGTCATTGTTAAACTGAGAAAATGATCAGGATACTTTAATTTTTTTTTAAACTCAAATTTTAGAATCATTTTTAGAGTACAGCAGTCTCTTCTCTGCTTACAAGGTTATTTGGTTATTTCTGAGTTGCAAAATTTCTCTCTCCATTTTCCCTCTTATACTACACTTTTCAGTCATGCCTGCCACAACCAAACAGGCAGGAAGTATGAGGAGACATTCTTCTCACATCTGTAGTGGAAACCTTTGCAGCAGACAGAAATGGCTCTGGGTCTACTTTGATAATTTTTTTAAAGATTTTATTTATTTATTTGACAGAGAGAGACACAGCGAGAGAGGGAACACAAGCAGGGGGAGTGGGAGAGGGAGAAGCAGGCCTCCCATTGAGCAGGGAGCCGGATGTGGGGCTCGATCCCAGGACCCTGGGATCATGACCTGAGCTGAAGGCAGACGCTTGACGATTGAGCCACCCAGGGGCCCCTACTTTTTTTTATGGCATTTTCAATCCATTGCCAGCCTTTGATATTCCTTAAATACACACCATCAGTGGGCTGTAGCATCTAGACTAGAGGGCCCCCGTTTGCTATCTGCTCAGACCTTTTAGGGCCACATGGTCTGGTGCAGTAACTACTAGCCACCTGTGGCTCTTGAGCACTTGAAATTGGCCAGTCCAAACTGAGACACATAGTAAGGGTAAAATACACTGGATTTCAAAGACTTAGTACAAGAAAAAATGAATGTAAAATGTCTCATTAGTAATTCTTTTTTTTTTTTTTAAGATTTTTTTTTTATTTATTTGACAGAGAGAAACACAGCGAAAGAGGGAACACAAGCAGGGGGAGTGTGAGAGGGAGAAGCAGGCTTCCCGCCGAGCAGAGAGCCCGATGCGGGGCTCGATCCCAGGACGCTGGGATCATGACCTGAGCTGAAGGCAGACGCTTAACGACTGAGCCACCCAGGCGCCCCTCTCATTAGTAATTCTTATATTAATTACATGTTGCAATGATAATGTTTTAGATACACTGGGTTAAATGAATTATATTAAGATTAATTTCACCTATTTCTCTTTACTTTTTAATGTGGCTACTAGAAAAACTTAAAAAGTCTTAATGTGGCTCATATTATATTTCTATTCAAAAGCACTGCTGTAGAGCTATGGGCCCATGCTCTAGTATTAGTATTCCTGGACAGAACGTTTCACTAGGCTAGCATGGTGGTTAGTAATACAGGTATGGGTTCTGACTCGGCCAGATGTGAACATGTGACCCTTGGCCTCTCTCAGCCTCAGTATCTTCATCTGAAAATCGGTAGAATGATAGTGCCAAACTACTGGTAGTACACATTTTGGGAATACAGTTTTCTCTCTGTACGTTTTGGGAATACAGTTTTCTCTCTGTATTTCTGTTGTATCTTGAATAGTAGCAGCAGAGGGAGAAACCCTTCTCAGAGATCCTATGGCTGGAATACAGGAGGTTAGGTAGACAGCAGGTTGAGCTGAGTCTCAAAGCTTAGCAAAGAGTCCAAAGGTTTAGGGGGGGCACTGTTCCTCTCCTTTGTTACAAGTATGGGTTGTACCATAGGTCACTGGATAGAAAAATGTTCCCAGAATCTCCTGGGCAATCTTTTACGAGACAGAGTGCATACAAAGATGTCATTTCTCTTCCAATCCTTCAGATTATGTTCATTCATTTGTTCACTCATTCATTTGTTCATTTATGATTCATTCATTTATATGCAATGAGAATGATATTTTGGAAATATTTTCAAATGGATTTTTATATCCCTTTACTCTTACTGTGTGGGGGATTTAAAACTGCCAGGAACACAAAGTGCTTTCTCAGCTTTGGCTGTCAAATCAGACATTTTATTTGAGTCTGTGTAAGCCTATTGTCTTACTGAGGCAAGACCACTTATTCATTCATTCATTCATTCATTCATTCATTCATTCAGCAAATATTAATTCAGTCCCCATTATGTATTAGCCACTTCCCCAGACACCGGAGATAAAGCAGTAAAATCCAAACACTATCAAGAGAGAAAGGATTTTTTGTATTTCTGTAACTCTCTTTCATGTAATAAGGGCTAGGCCTGGTAGACTTGACCCTAGATTTTTTAATGTAAAGGAGGTCTTGGCTTGAGAGAAAGAGGAATGGGAGAAAGGTCTACATTTTCCAATTCCAGTGAATTATGGGAGAAAGAAGATATCAGAAATAGAGGTGAAAGTCAGATACCAGAGTCCTCACTTAATTCTCAGTCCTGGGTGCTAAGTCTCAAGAGATTGCAGAGGGTTGCTTTAGAAACACCCAGATAGTCATTGGGAGGCCCAGGTATGCTGAAGCTAGTGGATAGCCTCCACTGGGTATAGTATGGGGGGGGGTATCTGCAGACCCCTGGGAGAATGTCAGCCTTTGGCTCAGAGCTCTATTCAGGCTGGTGCAGACAGCAGCAGGTGGCAGAGAGGTAGGTGAGCCTGGGGTCCCCAGAGCTTGTTCATGGAGTGTGAAGGACCTGGAAGTGTCCACACACTCAGATGAGGTATGGAGGTGCTGAAGTCAGTGAATGACAGAGCTTGGGGGTCAGAAAGCAGAGGTGGAGATTTCAAAATCAAATGTAAATATGGGGGGGCATGGACTCCAGCGAGTGGATGTCCAAACCAGATGGGCTGCTGCACCCCAGTAAGGACCTGAAAGTTCAGAGAGAAGCCCAGACCAGCCATCAAACAGTGGAGATAGGCAGAGGACTCAGAGGGATTCCAGGAGCAGCCTTCACCAAGCCCTGTTTACTTCCCAGGATCTTGAAGTTCCCTGCCCCCATGCATCCAGACTCCATCCTGGAGAAAAGCTGGGGAAGTGGAAATATGAGAGACTGAACATTTTACCTTCGGGGACTATTTAAAGCATAGCATTGGGTTCCATTTACCCAGCTGGACTAAAATTCAGTGTTATTTATGCTCTTGCTACACAGTGGGTGAGGCTAGGGAAGCAAGATTAGATCAATTACAAAACATAAACAACCAATATTTTTGGCATGTACAAGCTTTGTGGGGGAAAATTCGCATCTCCACTCCACAAATCCATTCATTCATCCATTCAACATACATGTATGGACAGCCTACCCCTGGGCAGGCACTTAGCTAGGTTCTCTAGAAAGAATACGTCTGAGGCATGCAGAGCCTACTGAAGGAGACAGGCCTGTGAGCCAATAATTGGAATGTAGTATGCTAAGTGCTGTGACAGAGGTATGAATGGGAGTGGAGGAAGGTGAGTAACTTCCCTGGAAGAGTTTGCAGAAGATGTAGATGCAGTAACATCTGAGGTTCTTAACAAAAACCTGAATTCTCCAGATGAAGACTTGTGGACACAGTGATTCAGGGAGAAGAAAGGCTGCATGGAAAGGCCTTGATGTCTGAGAGGACAGGGAACATTCTGGTGACTGCAAGAAGTTCCATGTGGTTGGAACAAAGAGTGTGTGCAGGAGAGTGCAGGAGGTGAGGCTGGAAAGGTAGACATGGGACTGAAGACCAGGGGTCCTGTGGAAGGTTCTGAAGCAGAGCAGTGTCGTGATCCTATGTGTTTTCCATAATCTTTAAAGTTCATTTCTTACTGTGTTCCATAAAGATGAAGTAGGCAAGAATAGTAGCAAGTGTCCACATTATATTTATTTTAACTGAACTTCATCTTATAAAGAAGGGAAACACATTAGGTCTCCCAACCTCCTAGGGATGGTACTTGCCAAAAAAGACTGGCAAAGAAAATTCAACAAATATCAACCCCTGAATTATATGCGGGATCTGATCTAAAAGTCTTTTCTTGATAGCCATACAAAAGAGAGGCATTTACCCCTTAGAAAAACACCCTCACTGTACCCCCCCCACCTGGTAGGTATTACCTTGGGCTACCCAAAAGTGTAACCGGGGACAGAGCTGGTGTGCGGTAGGAAAGAAGAGCATGCGTTTCACTCACCTGAACTTTGATTTGGAAATCCGGTGGCTGAAAGAGAAAAAGCAGATGTTACCAAGGGACACATATGCATATTCTTCCATTTAAAAGATGTTCAGCAGTCCCAGAGAAGTTTGATGGCCCTGGGTGACTAGAAATGGGTGCTGGATGGATGTGAGGAGTGAAGCAGAATGACTCCGGAGAGAGAGAGAACCCTACTTGTCAGCATCTCTTGGTGTGTTTATGTATATGACTGTGGAAACTGAGGGCTGGCCCAGCTGACATATCTACAAATCTAGTATTTTCTAAGTGGAACTAATAGTCCCTGGAGAGGGCAGGTGCTGTGTGGCACACAGCATCTGCCCAGCAGGTCCAGCCAAGTCAGGTTAGGCCATGTGTTGGGAATGCAGCACCTTGATGAGAGCCATGCAGGGAAGGAAGGCCTCTCTGCAGATGTGAAGGTCTCACCAGCTGGAAACCACAGGCAGGAACATGTCATTGCAGACCCCACTGCTGTCCCAACAGGAGCTTGGCCAATGCTGGGGTATGAAGGGAAGATAAGCAAAACAAGCCAGCTGGGAACTGAGAAGCCACTATAGTCCTGGCCTGAGGGCTGCAACTGGGCCTAAAGGAACAGCCATCGGTCCTGACAGAAACCCAGGATGCTGACAGTCACATGAAGCCTTGAAGACATGGGGGATTTCTGGGCAAAACACAGGGCAGGTGTGACTCGAAGGGTTGTGGTATGGGGAAGGAGGCCCACAGAAAGGTGGACCCTTCAGGGAGGCCCTGAGGCTACTGAGTTCATGTTGGAGAGTGCAGGGAAAACTAGGAGGAGAAAGGCTGGGAGCCGGAAGGGAGGAGAGAGAGAGAGAGAGAGGAGAGGGAGGGAGGAGGGAGCGAGAGAAAGGGAGAAAGGGAGAGAGAGAGAGAGAGAGAGAGGGAGGGAGGAAGGGAGGGTGGAAGGAATGTAAGCCCTTGAGACAAAACAGGTGAAGGCAATGTGTCAGAAAAGGCTTTGGTGTTCAGGAAGTGAACCAGAGGATTGCAGGTGGAGCAACCATGCTCAGATGGACACGTAGATGGATGGATGCAGAACACAGGTTAGAGACGAAGAAAGTGATAGAACACTGGTAGGGAGACAAAGACAGATGCAGACAGAAAACAGAAGCAAGGAGTTCAGGAGGCGACCGCTGCAAGCCTGTGTTGTCCCAGCTCAGCACAAAGTGAGCTCTGTCACATAGCAAGAAAACAACCTCTCTCGTTATTTTTTATTAAAAAAAAATTAAACCAGAAGATGTGACAGGTGGCAAAGCCATCGTGCATGAGATAATTATATCTCTGGGGCACTGAGAATCCTAGCCAAGTGCCTTTACTGCTCTGAACCGTTAGCTAATAACCTTTTCCCACCCCCAAGGCTGCTTGCTAGGGCTGGAGTGTTTAATCACATGTTAACAAAGTGTGTGGGAGGGGGACCAGGAGCCAAGGGCAGCATTTTTATTTAGAGCCACAGTTTAATGGGGGAAACAAATGTTTTCCAGCTGCTAATTGGGTGATGGAGAATCGAGGTCTTCTCTTCCCCAGCAGGGCCATGCTGAGCTTGGGGACCTTCAGGGTCTTCACTAGGCTTACTTTTGGACAGTTGCCTCTCTGCTGTTAGGCATAAGCCAAAGTGGATGACCGTGGCCTTTAGTCTCATGACTCTGTCTACACAGCCTGGCCTGGCCCCAGGCCTTCTCTTAGAAATGTCTCAGTGATCCTCTCAGGGGTGTCCTTCAATGCAGACCATGTGCTCTTTCCTTTAAGTCTCTCTCAGTCCAAGGGGGTCATAAGCAAAAGTGGGTTCTTAAAACCCAAAATCATATCTTCCAGGGAAATGACTCTGGGACGTGGGCACAGAGGGGGATCAGAGCTGAGGTGACTTTTTGAAATGACATCCTAGTCCTAGTTCCAGCATGGTCATGAGCTATGGGCCCTTCCTTGGCATTTTGGCACATTCTGAAGAGGAGGAAATGGAGCAGAACTTTCTTTTCCACTTAGTTACAAGTCCTGATGTATAACCCTTGACACCACACTTGAAGACTGATTTTTTGTTGTTGTTGCTAATCTCAGGGGATTGTAAGCATAATTTTAGGCTCACTGGGTCAGTTCATCCCCTTTTAAGTACCACATTACTTAAGAGCCCCTACTTAAGAGAGAGGAGGGTATTGCTCAAGTGGCAAGTGTCTAGAGACAAAGGAAAACCCTAACTCTTAGAGAGCTGAGGTTAGAACTCTGTAAAGCCTCCATACTGCCTTATATAGCAGGGAGTCAACTGTAGAATCCCATTTCATGAAAACAGAGGACCCAGTTGCTCAGCAGCCTCACCTCTTGGGAAGTAAGTATTGGCTCAAGGTTTGGAAAGCTGGTCTGTCTCACTCTGTGAGTAAGCAAACTGGGGAGTCTATGGCAGCCTGGTGTCATGGCCCCCACTCCACACCCTGGGTTGGCTGATGCTTCCTCCTACTGGTTTTTAAACCACTTCAGATTCCTCAGCACAGTAGAGGCTCTAGTTTCTCCAAATCCCAATGGGGGATGCACAACTTGCTCAGAAGTCTTCTTGGCTTTTTCTATCATTATTGTCCTAGTGAGGTACAATTCCCACCTCATGTTTTAAATGATTTCCTGAAGAAGAGCTAGGAGGTGGACAAAGTAACTGACACTCAAGACCATCAGAGCAATTCTACTGGGTTGGACCTGAAGTCGCTTCAACCCAAGATACTTTCTCTGCCCAGGCCTCCAAGACAAACCTTCTAGGGAACCATGATTTTTGTTGTTGATATTAAGGTTCAAAATTAGAGACGAGCCCCAAACTCCTTTCCTTTTGCTTAACCACTTACTTCTTGGGGGCCTATTTATATTTCAGCCTTTCTCACCTTCTTAGAGTAATGAACACAGTATGTTTACTACCTGCGGTATGAAATAGTATCTCCCTGAATTGTCTCAATTTGCCTTTAACGTAAGTCAGATGGCATTGCAGTCACCATCCAGGCTGACACACATCTGACTCAAATTCCTTGACGCCACAACTTCAACACTGTCCACAGCTGTTATTCCTAGAAGGGTAATGGACCTTGTCATCACAGAGCACTGCTTCAACAACTGGATGCTGAACTCGGTAGCTCCACATTCTGGCCAGATTCTCCTTCTCTATTCCTCCTCCTGCTCTTGCTCGGAACCCAGTCTTTGCCCTCACTGGGTCTTCCCCATCATTCACCCCCTCCAGGGCTCCCAGGCTAATGCCAGGCTTAACTTCCAGGTCCCAGCTTGGCACTAGCGTCACATCAATGTTGCCCTCAACGCACGGCCTGGGACTTGTACTTTGCCGGCCTCGCTACACTGCTGCCCTGGTTCACACGGCTGTTTTTAGTGCTTCTGGGCCATGCAGGCTGCCAAAAAAATCTGTCGAATCGTTTTGCAAGGCTGCCTTCACATTTACAATGTCAGGCTCCACTGTGGCTTCAGCACTCCTTGGTGATCTTTTAGTGACCTCTTGGTGACTCACTAGCTTGAATCTTCTGTACTGTTCTTCAGGTTCCTAGGACACCTAACCCCCACTTTCTGTGACTAGATGACAGATAATTTGGTTTGACTCCTATCATTGACTTTCTGTATCAGAGCCTATTTCTGATTCTACATTCTTTATAGAACTATAGAGTTTGAGAGCTTGGATGGGGTCCTTAGATGTCACCTGGAACTATGGTTTGCAATTTATCGGGTTGTAGAATGTTTTATTCATAGGACATCTTACATGGAAGCCCAAATGAACAAGAGTTGAAAGTGGCTCCCAGGAGTTCTGGGCCTCTGCTAGTAGTCCCCGAGCCAACAATCAAGCCAACTCCTTCGTGTCCCAGAGGGCAAGACCAAGACTCAGATGGGAAGTGCTTTGGTTGAGGTCAAAGCAACAATGGCTTTTTGGTGGCTGACTGGGACCTGGTCCAGGACTCCTGATGCCAGGTCTCTTTTTCTATCTTCCAATTAGTCCCAGAGGTAAGGAACTTCTTCTTCCTGTGTAAATCTAGCATCTCCAACTGTGTCTCTGAAGTCAACCTTCTCCTCTTTTTAGGCAATGTCTTGCTATAATCACCCATTTCCATCCCAGCATCTGTAGACCTTCCATTTTCATTGGTCGCTTCTTTGCCGCAAAGACTGCCCCAGTGTTTTACTATGGTGAAAAACGAGTTCTCACTTGGCCATTGCTGCCTCCCTTTCTACCATCTTATTTTCTTCTCTCCCTTCCATGGCCTCACTTCTGGAGCGAGTGCCCTAAGCTGGCTCCTTCCCACCCTTCTCCTTCACTAAGACTCCAGCTCCCGCAAACAAGTCCTGTAGAGTGTGGCTCCAGAACCCACGACCACTTTCTTCATCTCCATGTGTGACTCTAGCCTGAGCCAGCATCATCTCACACCTCACTAACTGCTATCGAGGCTGCTGCCCTGTGTTTCACTGTGTTCCCTAGCGGCCTCACTTCTACCCATTCTTTCCCTGACATCCAAGTGATCCTTCGAGAATGCAAAACTAACCCAGTCAACCTCCCTTGCCAGTTCCATGTTCTTGTGACTTCTCACAGTCTTGTGATAAAGACAAAGATCATTAGGGGCCTACCAGGCCATGCCCTTCCTCCAGCCTCCCCTTCCCCACTCCCCCACCAATCCGCCCTGGCCTCCCAGTCCTTCCATCCAAGGGCCTTGAAACACACTGTTGCCTTTGACTGGAACATTCTTCCTTACTCTTCACCTCAATAATAATGTATGTTCACTCTTCAGTTCTCAGCTTATATTTTATTCCTCAAAAAAGTGTTTCCTAACTTGCCAGTCTAACCTGTTATTAACCCTACTACTTAGCTACTTTTCCTTCTTAACACTTATCCCTATTTCCATGACTAATTTACTTGCTTAATATCACTTCCACACCAGATTATAAACTCCAGTGAAATGGTATCAATTTTTTTCTCCTGCTATGCATCACCATCACTGTGCACCAAGCTGGGCACACTGCTGAATGAATGTACAATCAACAGTGCTCTCCTGAAACTCTCTCCCGTGGCCTTCCTGCAAGTGCTGCTGTCTGTTGTCTTAAAACCTCTTCATCTGTTTCACTTACTTATTCTTATTCTTCTGTCTGTCAGGTTCCCAAGATTCAGCCCTTGGCCAACCCTCATCCTATAGCCTCATTAATCGTTTTTATACTGATAACCTCAAGTGTGTGGCTCCATTCTTGTTCAGAGCTGAGCCTTGGACCTCCATATCCTGTTGCCTGCATGGTACCTACAGGTCCCTCAGTTGGACCCTTGTTTCAAATTTTACTTCAGCATCCTTACTGTTTTCTGTCTTCAAACTTTGATGGTTCCTTCTTCTTCATCACCTCCCTCTCCCCAACAAAATATCATATTGCAGTTCCTTTTTCTCTCTGCTCCCACCCCCTCAGGGACCATCTTCATCAGCCCTTCTCACTACATATAAATTTTCATCCTGACCTCATCTGACTACACAAGCCTTTTAATTCTTAGCTCTAAAAATGCCAGCCCCTCACTGTCTCCTCCCCATCACACTCGGTTTCAGCCCCCAGCCTGTTCTCACACTGTTTCTCCCACCAGGAATGTTGGCAGTCTTATTCCATGGTTGTCTGAGTGGGGTGGGGCTGGGTAGAGAGATGGGGAAAGACCATAATTTATTAAGTATATATTATAATCCTGGCACTCTGTCCAGGTATTTTATATGCACAGAGTAGAAGCATAAATGTGGATATTCATAAGGATAACAGGGACCATTTCTACAGAGCTCCTCCAGCCTGCAGAATGTGTCCTCAAGGAAATGACAGATACACTAGAGGTGCCAGCTTCCCTCTCTGGAGGATAATCATGTTCTCCTTCCAATAGATCTCCATGCTCTCCTGAAATGTACCTGCAAGTGACTTCCTAGGGCTAGGAACTTCTCTGGTCTCTCCTGGTTTGCAACTTGAGCTATGCCCCAAAGCCTGAGTTGCAGGGTCCTCCACCATCTTCTCTACAACCCTCCTTGGTGTTAAGACCACAGAAAGGCCTGACAGACTTAGAAGGTTTGCTGGGGCCCATTTGCAAAAACTTGAGTGCTTGCTTTGTATGGCAGGAGAAGAGGGAAAGGCTTGGACTGCTGCTTAAAAATGTAATTAGCCCCGTATTTTAACAACATTTTGACAATAATTGCTTCCCAATGATGCCGAGAAATCTGCAGTGCAGACTCCCTGGTGCCACTGTCAGAGTGAGTGATGCTGAAAGCCCTGTGTAGCCTGGAAATAGAAATTGCAAGAGCCAGTCTGTTCCTAAGCCTTGTTTTCCCTTCTCCTTTCTTGGAGACCATTCTCAAGGTTGGCATGGCTTGTGTTCAGACTCACCTACAGAGAATCTTTTTAAAGAGGTTGGGGTTTGCTCAGCCTATTGAGTCATTTCAGGGATGAAGGGTGAAATAAGATGCTGTTCCACTGATGGAGCAATTTAGAAATTCATTTCATTTGGGACTGGTCCTACTCAGAGCCTTCTGTATGCGGTGCTTTTTAGTGACTGGGGTGAGCTTACAATTCTTACACCAACAAGCCAACAGGAAAAGCAGGCTCCACTTCCAAGAGCAGACCCTGAATGCTCCAGGAGGCCTCATGCCCAAGGTCAGTGTGACTCCCTGACAGAATAGGACTTTAATCTTTGGACTCTGCTGAGATGCTGGTAATAGAATCAACAGTTTGCTTATTTTTAGCAGTTAAACTGTTTTTTCCCTTCACTTTTTTTTTTTTTGTGGGGGAACATTTCCCAGGGACTACTGGTTTCCATTTTTAAGATCAAAGATGGGTGATTGTGATAGTTCATGAGTGAATTGTTCTTCTGCGCACCTGGCGCAATCTTGGGCCAGTCGGCTCCCCGAAGCCTGGGGCCTGGGGTCTGCCCTAGGGGAAGGGAAGCTGTGGGCATCTAGGCTGGAGCTACTTTTGGACAAGGTGTCTGGCCATGTTGTGAATAAGCACAGGTGAATTTTGTATTAACTCCAGTTTGCACTTCAGGCATCTCTGTTTCCCTTCACTAGGTAGGTAACTAGAGTTGCAGAGAAGGACCAACATGTTGATTATCTCCCAGGGTATTTTCTTACCTGTTTGCTCTTCTTCCAGGTCACATTTACCAGAATGGAAAGGGTGGTGGGCAGGACCCAGGGACCCTCACATAGGTGCCTCATGTGACAGGGGGCAAAGGGGCTGGGAAGAAACAGACTTAGGAGCCACTGCCAACCTCCCCTCACTGTCCCCCCTAGCCCTGTCCTGTATTTCTCTGATGTAATGGAGTCAGACCGTCACAGGAGTGAAGAATCAGAGACTGGCCTTAGTATTAAGACTTCTCCCCCTGCCATGGAGCCATACTCAACACAGGGCCCTCTTTCCCCACACAAGTCGCTGCCTGAGTTTTCTGTTCCTCTGACCTCTGCCTCACCCACAATGGGCCAGCCCCTTGTGACTTCAGGACACAGCATCCCTGCCCGCATCCTTGGAAAAGCCCGAGTCCCTGGGCTCGCCGTGCCTACTCACGCCAGCCTGGCCCCGCAGTTCTCTCCCTCGATGTCACCTCCAGCCACGTTTTCGGTGTTGACAGACTCGGTCTCGCTTGTGGGCATGCTCACTACAAGAGTCAAAGGGATGCAGAACAAGGCATTGAGGGTGGGGAGGAAAAGGGGAGAGAAGAGCATTAGTTTGCGAAACACCCAGTCCCAAGACTGTGGGCTACTTGGGAGGAGGAGGGCCTGAGCAGCATCTGTTAGTTGGGGGGAAGGGGCAGCAGTGCTGCTGTGAGCAGGTTGGGGCACTGGCACTGCCATGGCCAAGTTTGGGGGTTTCCTTGACTGTCACACCTGCTGCTTGTCTAGGGTGAGTTTAACTAGTGGGACTTACTTCCTGAAAACACTGACCATTGAATCCTTTCCTACCCTCAACTCTGTGCCCTCAGAAAAGCTGTGCAAGCTTTTCCATTTGTATCCACTATGAGCCATAAAAAGAGGAGCTTTCATGAAAATATTTTATTTTGCTTTTTTCCCCACCTACCAATTCTAAGGGGTTTCATCCCCAAACTTAGGGTCCAACTTGTTTGTAGGAGGGATGTTTTTGCTGCCTCATGAAGTACTAGATGGATGTGGAAGACTGCCCCCCTAATTGTAGTGGACACTGGGTCCTGAGTCAGTTCCATCTAGGACTGTACCTGAAATAGGTAGCTTGAAATAAATGACTATTACCAGAATCGGGTACTAAGATTCAAACTAGCACTACAGACACCAGGAATGGGGAACATAATCGTGGAATCCACCAATTAAGTTTAAATGTGACTTGAAGATAGACTGAACGTAGACCGGGATGTCATTTCCCCTTCTAGCAATCCTGACATTCCGACCCCAGCAGGCTGACTTGGGATATAAACCATCTAATTCCACTGGTGCCAATCTGTCTGGTCAATCTCCACTCCCTTCCCAAGGCAGCAGTGAGCTGCATTTCCAGAGTGGCAGGAATTTTCTAGCTTGCAACCCAGTGTAGGGGCTTAGAGAAGCCATTATTTTATCATTATTTTTTATTTCAAATAGAAGTTTCACTCGAGAATTCTTCCTCCTCACCTTCTCTTACCCTTTTAATATGACACAAAAATGTGTTTTATTTTTGGCAACCCTTGTTCTTCAGAATGGCCATTACGGCATTGGTCCTGGTTCCGTTCTCCTTGCAGAACAGAACTCCTCATGTGGTGAGAAAATCACTAACTCTCAGGAGCCACACAATCTGCAGTTAGTGAGGGTGTGGCATCAGGTGATGTGACACCTTGTACAAGTCCCCATGGGGCCGCCACAGCCCAGGAAAAGCTTCTACTGGTTATATGGATAGTATCTTTGGATGGAGATTTTCCAAGGTTCATTTCTTTTGGATGAAGAAAAGATGGGTGGGTGAGAAGAGACTCATGTCAGGAACATGCAAGATATAAATAGAAAGCCCATGACTTAACATATGTTTGACTGTCATGTACGAGAGACCTCTCTACCTTAGGACTCATTTTTAATACAGTTGGGTAAAAAGAAATCTAGATGCCATTTCAAAGAAGGTTGGCACTGGACGTGACTTTAGATATTACCCAGCTCTAGCTTATTCCCTTCACTTTACAGGACAGGAAAGTGAGGTTTAGGGAAGGGAAGATGCCCAAGTTCACACAGTGTATTTGGGGGTAGGACTTGGTCATGAGTACAAGTGTCATAACCCCCTGCACCATGCTTATCTTGATTGCCCCTCTGTTGACCAGCTCCCTACTCTATACTTTAAGACAAGATGAGGTTCTTATAGCCAGATCAGGCTCTGGAAGCATCATAGGAGCATGGTGAATAGCCAAATAGTGGTGTTGAATTTTATAGCATTTACACACCCGTTGTAGCCTGAGGTCTGAAGGAGCTGGTGTGTGAGGCCAGACCTTAGGGATGGTTTTAGCACTGGGAGCTAGGAAGACAGCACCTTCAGAGCTTACCAGATTCTTTCCTCCATCCACACTAAGGAAGAAGTCATACACTTCAGTCCTTTCAAACCATCTATCTCTGGTCATCTCTGACCTAAGGTTCCTTTCACTCTTCAGGCATCATTGTTTAAAGAGTTCTGGGGGGTGCCTGGGTGGTTCAGTCAGTTAAGCATCCGACTCTTGGTTTTGGCTCAGGTTGTGATCTCAGGGTTGTGGGATCAAGCCCCACATTGGGCTCTGTGCTCATTGTGGAGTCTGCTTAGAATTCTCTCTCTCCCTCTGCCCCCCCCCAACTCTCTCTTTCAAATAAATAAATAAATAAATAAATAAATAAATAAATAAATAAATAAATAAAATCTTAAAAAAATAAAGTTAAAGAGCTCTGACTTTGTGACACTTTGCTCCCAGAGAGCCCCTTATGTGTTAGTGGAGTGGTATGATGGTGGTGCTAGGCTTGGAAATACAACCAAATTAGGAGTGGATGGGCTTGGGCTTTAGGAGGAACCATATTATCTCCTAAATCAAGGAACTGCCTGTACCAGTACCAAGTTGGCATTTACGGTGACCTTAATCTTGGCTGGCACTATCCAAAGGAAGTGTTCCATCAAGGAAAAGCAACTGCTGATTGTCATGTCTGCTGACTTTATACATATGAAGAGATGATAGGGCAGTGGCTTTGAGTGGGACAGATTACCATCCCCTTATAGATACACACACACACACACACATACACACACATACAAATACACATTCATGACCACTGCATCACAAACCATCGAGAAAAATACCAGTCCGGTATGTACCAATGCTCATTTACACACATAGAGCGCAGGGGAACATTACCATGGGTTTCTGTGGAGTGACTAAACCAAGCAAACTTCCCTTTCTTCTGATCAAGCAAGCCCGCTGGTGTGCCTCCTTTCACAGACAAGATGGTCATGTCAAGAACCAGGAACAAGACATCAATAGAAAGCATGCAGTCAGCCATGGGCAAAAGAAAGAGACAAGGAACTCAGCTTTCACATAGAACATCCATTTTCATCTTTGAACATAAACTAAGAAAACTGTAAAGAGCAATAAACCAAAACACATAAGAAAACATAACAAAGTAGAACCCAAACCCCAATCACATGAATTAATGACACAAAACAAATGATGGACCCTGAGGAGAAGGAGTTACTCCAGCAGAAGCTTCAGTCTACACTGGTCTATCTAGTTAGTGGCTTTGAGGGAAGAGCTTCCTGGGAGAGGCCACCACTCATCCCTGCTGCCTACAGTCTCCAGTAGGGTAACTGCTAGAATCAAACGATAGCATTGGTGCTCCCCCTTCACTCCTACCCAATGGCCAGGTGACCTGACCTCTTCCCCACCTGTAGTGGATCTACCCCTCCTCCCTCACCACTTATATTCAGATCATGCCACTTGCAGATGAAAAACAGCCCATGGATCTACTTGCCCCTTTGTCCAATTCAACGACTTAGTCCCATTCAGTAAAGAACCACCAAGTGTTTCAGGCCTAATAATATCCAAAACCTCTATGTATCTGCTTTTAATCAGTTTAAACAGGCGAAGAAGCTTGTCAGTGGATAGTCTTTTCAGAAGTTTGGTGTATAAGGGAGAAGAATGTTATAAGCTTCTTTTGGCTCTGGGCTATAGTTGAAGAAGAGGGTGCTAGGGAGTTTGTAAAGACACTGATTACCACAAATGGAAGAGGGGGAGCTCTGTATTCTGCAATAGACTTTGAGTTCTGGATGTCAAATGCTTTATCTAATTCCAGAGAAAGAGAATTTTCCCACTCTGTTTGACAAAACTAGTATGAACCACAGCTCTGCCAGGCCTCTATGGAGGGGGCTTGGCATGAGTAGTGAGTGAGGCTTAGTCACAACTTATTTTTTTTTTTTTAAAGATTTTTTATTTATTTATTTGACAGAGAGAGACACAGCGAGAGAGGGAACACAAGCAGGGGGAGTGGGAGAAAGAGAAGCAGGCTTCCCGCTGAGCAGGGAGCCCTATGCGGGGCTCGACCCCAGGACCCTGGGACCATGACCTGAGCAGAAGGCAGACGCTTAACGACTGAGCCACTCAGGTGCCCCTAGTCACAACTTATTAATGAGGTGGGAAATCTGCTACCACTCAGGAAAGGAAGCATGTGCCCTGGTGGGGAATGGGTAGGTGATCCCATTAGTTCCAGGAAAGGGCATAAAGGGAAGGTCAATCCAAGTTTTTAGGTGCTTCTTTATTTTATCCACTTCCCCTGGAACTTGGATCACCTTCAATGAGCATCCTTGAATGCTGCTTGTTAGTGAAAATTCTGAAGACTTGTTCATGAAAAAAAGGATCAGTCTTATTTTTAATCTAGGTAAAGGGCCATGTCCCAACCACACATCTTTAAAATACAAAGCTTGGAAAAAACAACAACAACAACAAAGCTTGGAATAAGCAGACACTTCTCAAAAATCCCATATGAAAAAAGCACTGAGTGTTAGGAGCTGAAATGAATGGCTTGGTTCCAATTTGCTTTCTAGCAAAAGATATGTCTCAGCTTAGAATGATAACAGTTACTGAAGTAAGCATCTCATAATGAGTGGTCTTTTGTTTGGAGGTGTAAAGGGGTCAACATGAGTCTGCCAGTCACCAAGTTTCTGTCTATTCACATGGTTGTCTGGGGGAACAAGAGCCCTGTCCAGTGATGGAAGGCCCAGAACACTGTGACCTGTTATACAGAAGCATTATTCAGCTTCTGGCCTTGGCATCAGTATTGCCCCATATTTTTTGATTTCAGAAATAACTGCACAATAACTTTAAAAACAATAGGAACAGCTTGATAAAAACATGGTCATTCAGTGTATGACTGAATTTGACCAGGGCTGGTCTTTCAGCTACAGGTGTGGAATGTGATTTGAAGAGCATGTAAATCATCTCCTTTCAGAGTGTGCAGTAATGTCTACTAGATCTGCTCTTTTGGGTAAAGTCATATATCTGAAGGTTCCTTGTTGAAATGAAAATCTCTCACCTGGAAGGAGCAGTACATTAACATATTAGTGCCTACTTGTGATAGTTTATCCCAAAAGTCCCTAAGGGAATAAGATGGGTGAAAATGCAGTTCGTGTTCCTATTCCCAAGGGATTAAATGGCAGGATCGTAGTTGATTCTTTAAGGGATTTGTTGCCCTAGGGAGATGGACTTGCATTCCATCTTGGAGTCTGAGTGTCCAAACTGTTGAAAGCTGAGAATTACAAATGCTGGATAGTTATTTGGTGGATGAGCTGGAGACTCTGCCTCTTCCTGTGGCCACTCAGATGATGAACTGGCTGGAAATTAAGGCAGAAAGACAGCAAAGAACACAGGTGCCCGAGGGCACCTCTCCTCTAAAGGCAATCCTCTTGATGTTTATAAAGTGAAGCTTGATGTGTGCTCATCTGCAGACTGTGTCATAATAACATGCCCTCTGCAGAATAAATTGTGCTTCTTGAATGATTTAGGAAGGATATTACTGAGAAAGAATGCTAGAGAGGAAGCTAGTTTTCTGACTTTCTATCTTCATTGTTAGGGGGTCCTCTGCACCAAATCTGAATTTCTGGGCTGTCCTGTTCCTTGACTTCTGCTGAGAAGATTCTCAAAGAAAATGAGATTACTCTTCCTGAAAGAGTAATTAACAGCTGCCGTTGCAGGTGGTGGATAACATAATTACATTTTTAGTAATATCACAACTGCTACAATGAGTTGTGTTGACTCCATCTTGCCAAAAACTGATTATCTCTTGAATTAATGTCTTCTCTCCCCCAAAATTTTCTCTGGGTGACAACTCTTGCTTGAATGGTGCCTGATAGATTATTTCTACATCTCAAGGGAGGTGCACAGATCTTGTTTCGCAGTAACCAATGTCTCCCCTGACCTGCTTGGAGAACAGTTGTGTGGATAATGGGGGGATTATAATAAGCCATTTCCTACATGTCTGGAAATCATATGAATCATGGTGGGGGAGGAGCACTAGATCTAAGCCATGGTGAAGATTGGCAGTGCCTGGTACCTGTGGGTTTGCAAACCTTCTGAAGGTTTATTTACTAAAATTTAAAATCCTCCATTAAACACCAGATAGTTCTTTGAAAGCATGGCTGCACAGATCAGCTGGCCAGCCTTTCCAAAGCTGTGGTCAACAGAGAAGCTCTCTGTAAAACTAATGCCTCTAGTCAGTTCCTTATACTGCTTAAAGCAAACCTCTAAGTGGTGAATCTGCTCCAGGTTGTTCCAGTGTGTCAGCACTCACATTTGCTGTAAAAAGAAATTAGATCTCATTTAGCTACCATGATGTAATATGTATCCCCAAAGATGGCCAAACTCATCCACGTGCATAAAAAATGACTTCAGAAGGGGCTCTGACCAAGGTTTGAGAGTAAGAGCAATGCTAGTTTTGATAAAGAAAAAGAAAGTCACTAAGGTTACTTAGCAGTCAATCCACAGAGGAAACAGTAAGCAAAATCTTCTCAGGTATCCTTTCCTTTACTCTCTTTTTCCTCCTCCCTCCTTCCCCTCCTTCCACTCCTTCCTTCCTCTCCCTAGGTTGGGGGCAGATGCATGGAGAAGCCTCCACACATAAAATATATGGTCTTGCTTCTTGAGGCTGTCTGTCTTAGGTATTTTTATTCATCACAATTGGCCGAGTGACATTAGAGCAAAGCTCCATGTTAGGGAACAAGGAATGGACCTGGGAGAGATGAAGAAATCTGCCTAGTTCTGAAATCTTTGGTTACCCAAATGGCTTTGACACTGTTCCAGGGATGTGGCTTTGCAATGTTCTGTGGTGACTTTCAGCAGGAATGGCTGGCCTCTCTTGAGATCTACTAAGAGAAATGCTGTCATCATTCTGGAAGTTAGCTGGCAGCCTCATTACCCAAGGTCAGAGAACTCATCAACTGCTGTCAATCTTTTATCTCCTTTCATTGGGAGAGGGTTGGCGCATCAGGGCCAGGCATCCCAGGCAGTGGTGGGGGTGTCAGAAGCCCAAGGAACTGAGGGCATTTCTCACCCAACCTGAACTTCTCCAGTGCTGTGGAGAGCCGTATGGAGCCAATGGGCTGAATCCTGGGTCTGCCAGACTGCCAGGATCCATTTGCTCAGCCTTCTACACTCTCTTGGATGAACTGAACAATTTACTTTGCCATTTAATTGGCAGATGCCCATTTTATTATCTTTTCTGTATATGAGTGGCATAATTAGCATTCATTTTCTCAGAGTACTAATCCGAGTTATGACTAACATGCAAAAGGATTCCTAATTTCCTACCCCACTGACTCTAATCTGGAATCTAACACTTCCTGTGATCTGGTTCCATGCTATGTGTGATGGCTGAGTGCCCCTCAGAAATTCATATGAAGTCCTAGCCCCTGTAACCTCAGAGTGTAGCTGTATTTGGAGAAAGGGTCTTTAAAGAAGTAATTAAATTAAAATGAGATAACGAGGGCAGGTTCTAAAGCAATTTGACTGGTATTCTGATCTGAAGAAGCAATCTGGACACAGACACACACACAGAGAAGATATATGAAGCCATGGGGAGAAGACAGCCATTTACAAGCCAAGGAGAGAGACCTGGAGCAGGTCCTTCCCTCACGGCTCTCAGAAGAAGCCAACACCGGTTACACCTTGATCTTGGACTTCTGGTTTCCAGAACTATGGGACAATAACTTTCTGTTGTTTAAGTCACCTTGTGTATTTGTGGGACTTAGTTACAACAGCCTTAGCTGATTAAGACAATATTGATTCATCCTCATTTCCCGTTACTTCCTCTAGAAATTCTCCACCCAAGTTGGGCTGCCCTTCTCATTGTCCCTGGAATGTACCATCTTTATTCTAACCTCTGGGCTTTCGTAGCTATGACGTCACATATCATACCCTTCCGCCTCCCCTTCACATATTCCAGG